GAAGAACCCATCCAGAGGACCTACTGATTTTTTCTTTTTGATTTTTTTCAACCTGGATTACTGAGATGCATCAGGACATATCTTCAGATTTATCAACTTTTCAGCTTAACTCTTTCTGAATCACTTAACATAATGTCCTATTGTGACAAACTATTTTTATTAAAGCACCAAGATACACCTTTTAAAATATCTATGAACCGATAAATATCTAAATCACTTTTTGTAGCTTAAGGGTCTTTAAGGTTGAAATAAAAAGATCAAAGTTGAAATAACGCAGGCATCAAACTGAACATCAGTGAAGCAGATGCTGTTAAATCTGGTTTCTTCCGTCACTGTTCCAGGGTTGGCTATGTGAGCTGCTCAGGTGGAAGGAGAGCCCAAGCCCTGAAAACCGCACCCTGTGGGAGAACCTGTGCACCATCCGAAGGTTCCTGGCCTTACCGCAGGCCGACAGAGACCAGGTCTACGAGGAGGAGTCCAGGCAGCAGCACAACGAACGGCTCCACACGGTCCTGCACATCCCAGAGCCACAGGTAAAAGTGTTTCTGTGCCGCGGTGGCAGAAAAAAATCCGAGCGCWTTTCACAAACCTGTGCATTTTTTTAAGGGGTAAGAAAAAAAAGGGAAAACCAGTGTCTGAGAGTCGTCGTAGAAAAGCACTGGTGTGATCTCACCACCTGCTCCTCTCAGCCTCCCTCCTCGTTGTCATGTTTGTGTCCCATAAGTCATTGAAAATAGACGTGGTAAATGACCAGCCCACACATTTCCTGCTAAACACTCCTCTATCCCACCCTCTCCCCAAAACCAGCATGTTCCCCCGTCTGGCCCTAACCTCAATATTATTCAGCTACACAGCCTGTAATTATTGAAGCAGAGAAAAAAAAGGAATTGCCATTATCTTTATTTAGGTCCTTTAATTTTGATGGACCACAGATTTATAGTGTTGGATTCCTGTGTTTGGGTGTGCAGGCCACCCCACCCTGTTAATAAGCTCTAGTAGTGTGGTTGTTTGTATGATGAGTTTGGGAGTTTAGCGTGCATGTTGGTGGTTTATGGAAGCTGGTCATTCACACTTCCTCCTGCAGCTCCACTCTGCTCAGCAACCAGGGAGACGAGAAATTAAGAGCTGGGTGATGTTTATGCTCAGTTTATTTTGACTGAATGCAAACATGCAGGGGCATCACCAAGAGGGAGGCCAGGAGGGGCAGAGACCACCTCTAGAAATTAGCTTACCCCTCCCCCCATTAGTTCAACGTGGCCAAACCGTCTTATTCTCCTGAGTGCTAAACTTTTGTTTCAGAATTAAAATGTGCATTAATGCACACTTTTAAATATTCCCCAGTAGAACCTCATGAACATAATAACATTGTTTTTCAATAAATGTTTAAAATAAAAACTGTCCGAGCTACAACAGATTTAATTCAATTCAGTTTTCAATTCAAAAAATGTATTCATTTCATTAAAAAAATAACTGTATACGATAAAAACAACGAAATTACACAAATCAAAAAATCAAAAATGAAATGAAAGATAGCAGAAGAAGAATAAATCTTATAATGTCTGCCCTTTTTATCCTCAGAACATATTCAAACAAAACATAATTTACAAAACAATACAAATAAAAATAAAAAATCAACTCAAACAACAATTCATACAGCTTCTCAACTTACTTTTCCATATACCTTCAGAAAACTAGCTTTTATCTGTCATTTAAATATATACATAGATCTAGCTTTTTTAAGATCATCCTCCAGACCATTCCACAATCCTATACCCTGGATTAAAGTACATCCAGGGTATGGTGATTTAAGGCCTTGGCCACACAGAAATGCAGCTTTCCAGAACATTTGTCATTCCTATATACACTTGTAAATACAACACTGTGGAGAGAAATGTCTTCTTCCACACGAAAACATAGGGAGACGAACCAAAACTTTGTAGTAACCATGCCAGACCTGTAGCGCTGTAAAAATCCCCTAAAAACAGGGAAGGAGGTGGAGCAGGAACATAGAGCAGGACGCCCTCAGGTGGTAGGTTAGATTAGAGGTGGGGCGATAACTTTACTGTTTTGCAGTAGTGGGCACTAGTCCCCTAAAGCGCTATGGTGCTAATTGTGGTGAATTAGGGCTTTTGCTAAATTTTTTTAATTGTGTGTGAATTTGTGCTGTCTAAATTTAAAATTCAGTAGCACTAATTTAATAATTTCATCAAGTGTTGCTCGTCATTATAACAGTGGAGGGAGAAAGGCGTCTTAAGTCATTACAATGCAGAACCATTGTAACTAACAGTGTCCCTTCTGATTTTAGTTTGTTCTCAGAGGCTATATACTGTAACTGACTGTCCTTCTGGGTCACAGTTTTCATTTAAGAGACAATTCCCACAATTCTTTGCGTTTACATGGCAGGAAACAATTGGAGCTACGTCACTGGGCGACAGTCCCAGCTCTTCTCCACCTCCGCCTGTTGTGGTTCTGATCGGTTCGGCTTCAGAGTTTGAATGTGTCTTCAGGTGTCCACACAGAATCACCCCTCTCCGATGGTCCCGGGTAGAAACGAGTACAGCACGTTTACACATTAGATGTCAACCTGTGGATTAGCTCTTGGATTGATTGACAGAGGAAAGGCGTTACTCGTGCTTCCTCCTGGAGAGAACCTGGCGATCTTGGAAAAGGCAGAACTTGTAAATACTTCCTAGAGAGAAGTGAACGGGTCGAAGCCGAGCAGAAATCAGAATGAACCGACCGCCCACGGTTACACAAGCACTTATAAACAGCACCGCACCAATAAATAAATAAAATAAAAACCAAACGGTAAAACCACAGCAGCTTTTTTTTGTGTTTGTTTAAACACAACAGCGCTGTGGACGGTTCACCCATAATCACTTACACACAGTGAGGGACACACARACACACACCTGAGCAGAACCAAACCGAACCGAACCAGAGTAGAACCATGCTCATGGAGACAGGGCAGTAAATGGAGTCAGAACATAAGCAAAGAAAAGTTTAAATTCAGTCATTAATACTTTTGTCAGATTCTAGTTATTTCTATGACCATTGTGGGTTTTTCTTTCACTAAATGAGGGATACCAACAATTTTGTCCATAATATRAAAAGGTGAGTCTTGAGGTTTTTGTCAAATTGCCTGATAGGCACAAAAACAACTCAAATTCTGTTATAACTTTTAATTTTTGGTGTGCTGCCCTCAAGGTTGTCAGTGGGCACCGACTGGCCCCCCGCTAAAGCTGCCCCTGTAAACGTTTCAAACACATCCACCGCTTAAAGCTTTAAAGAGCCACAGGATTGTTCTGGGTTAGAAGATAAATATACAAATGAACAAAGCAAACAAATAGGTGACAAAGGGCAGAGTGGTTAGGGCCGCTGTAACTGAGGAGTTGTTGGTTCAGTCCCCTGTTCCATCCGTCTTAATCGCTGTGTCCTTGAGCAAGACACTTCACCCAGCTGGTGGTGGTCAGAGGGTCCGGTGGCCCTGGTACATGGCAGTGCATGCTCCAGGGCAGCTGTGGCTATAATTTAGCTCACCATCATCACTGTGTGAATGAGTGAAGTGTCTTTTAGTGTCCTATGTTAGTTTGAGTTGTTGTTGTTGTTGTTGTTATTATTGTTATTATTATTATTATTATTATTATTATTATTTACTGATGTTTGTATGTGAAATACGTGCTTTTGTAATTAAATTTAATCTAGATTTGTATTTTTTTCAGAACATCCTTAAACATTATATTTCATGTAGCAAAATGCACATTTTAAACTTAACAGTATATTTGAATGTTTTTGTTTGTTTAAAGTTTTGTACAAATACAAATATTTCTACTATTTAAGAATTTTCTGTAAAATATGAGCATTTGCTAAAATTTCTAAACATTTAAACTTTGCAAAATTGCGTAGGCTGCACTTTACTATTGGAGTATAAGCAGTATTATTTAATAGAGGTTCTAGATTATTTTAATAAGATCTGTTCAAGTTTAGTTCATCTCTTATAAAAACTCAAGAAGGAGTTCATTTTAAGTTTTTAGTGTTTTAAAAGTATTTTTTACATGCTGTAAGTGGAATATTTAAACAAAGAACTATTTGTACCTACTTTCTTTTTTACAGCCCCTCCACAGACCACCCCTCCCCGCTCTAACGGCTCCATCACCCTTACATGAAGACCCACAGCCGATTGCGCTGCTGCCGGTTCTGCAGAGCTCAGAGGACGGGTTGCAGCGCGGTTTGAGTCCAGGCCTCGGAGGTGGGGGGACAAAGAAGGCTAGGTCGCGGACAAAGATTTCCTTAGAGGCTTTGGGGATCCTGCAGAGCTTCATCGGAGACGTGGGACTCTATCCGGACCAGGAGGCCATCCACACCCTGTCAGCCCAGCTGGACCTGCCCAAACACACCATTGTCAAGTTCTTCCAGAACCAGCGCTACAACGTCAAGCACCACAGTCAGTCCAGAGAGTCCGTCCCCGACGAGGACGACGGCGAGAGCTCGAGTCCCAGCGAAGAGGGGGTCTGCACGGTCCAAAGCAGGGCGGAGGAGGGTCTCTCCGCATCCGAGGAGTCCAGCGAGGACGGCAGAGGCTCAGTGGAGGTCTTCAGAACACAAAGAGAGGAACAAGAAGAAGAAGAGGTGGAGATGGAGGTAGAGAAGGAAGAAGGGGATGATGGGAAAACCTCAGGGCCCGCCACTTCCTCTCTGTCCCCGTACAGCAGCGTGGACAGTCCCCACTCAGCCGAGCAGCAGAGATAACAGCCGACGAAGTGGAGAGGGGGTTTAGATCAAACATCAAACTGTGACGAAGAACCACACTTTTTTTTGTCTGCACCACTTCACCAGAGCTGCTGACCAGAGCTCCCTAATATCTGAACAACTGTGGACAAATATTTATATCTGAACCTGAAGGTAGTTTAACTACCTGCTCATGTGGCCCGCAGAAGTGTTGGGTTTCTCAACAAGGCCCAATTAAAATTAATAATAAAAAATATTTTTAGCTTTATTCCTGTGAAGTTGTGGCTGAGTTGAGAAGCAAAACCTAAATGCTACACTCTTTATAAAATGCAGTAATTCTGTTTAAAAAAAAGTTGCTCCATATTTTTTGTAAATTATTTCTCCAAACTCATAAACATTCCTTCTGTTTTATGTTTTCAACAACTATAGAAAATGGTAAAAACTGTTTTCTCCACTATTAATGTTTAAACGCAGCGATGTGAGAAACACAGGTGAAGCGGTGCATATATATCCTGATTATATGCATGTTTTCACCAACCATACAGGATAATTAGGACTGGTAATTAGAATGAACGACTGCAGAGAGGTGAAAAAGCTCATCTGCTGTTCTATTAAGAATAAATGAATCTGAAACCAATGATTCACATTAAACACATTTATCAGTAAAACATTTTACAGGAATGCAGCGAAATAACTCCAGAACCTCTGTCTGAAATGTAGCCAATTTTGGATTATTTTGTTCATTTTTTATATATATATATTTATACTTCATCATCTCACTGTCCTTTTGTCTTTTAAAGACGACTGTATCGATAAGTCCGTATATGAAAACCTGTCACTTAAGCCTTTATTGATAATAAAAGTTTCTCACAATCCTTCATAAATATTTGATTTTATACTTTAGAAAATTCTTGCACGATTGTTAGAATTGAATATTGTGACAGAAAAGTGTTAATCTGGGGCTAAAACAAAATTTTTTAAAATCTTATGTATTTTTTTAAAGATTGAAATAAAATGAAGGTAAAAGGTTTTTCTGCATTGTTTGGAGATCACACAACCCAGAAACAAAACTGCTTTCTAACATGTTTTTCTCGCACACACCTTCGATGGGTCTGCGTGCAACAAATAACTACTGATAAAACCCCATAAATAAGCTAATTGTTTAAAATTTAAAAACGATTTAAGCATTAATATATGGGGTGCCAAGTGTAAAATAAAAAGTTCAAAAAATGCCATTTTCATTATGGAAATCTCTTACTGAGTGTAAAATATTAGTTAAACATTCCCAATGACATTTTATTGTTTTTTTGCTCACTGCTCTTACATTTTAGTCATGTTTACTAAATGTTAAAATTAAWTGTTAAATAACACAGTATATGAAAATTCCAAATCTAAATGTGTAAATCTAAATGTTAAAATTAAATCTTAAATGTTAAATTATAAAGCTTAAAGAATTTCAGATTAGAACGCAGTCTTTGCTGCTGGTGTGAGGCTTTTGCATCATTATCCTGTGACAAACGCAAACACTAATGCTGCTAACAATGCTAACGCTGCTAACACTGCTGAATATAATGTTTTAAATCAAAACTCAAAATGTGTTCATTGAAAACAATGTGGATGTTTCCTGTGGTCCGGCAGTTTGAAGTGCAGCTCAGACATCGGCCACAACTAAGAGTTTTATGTCTTGTAGGGAAGATTTAGCATCGTTAGCTTTTGTCGCAGGATGACATCATAACAAAAGCTGCACACCAACAGCAAAGACTGCAATCCATTACCAAAATTTTAAATCTAAATGTTAACATTTAGCCACAACATTTACATTTTACTTTTACATTTAGATTTAGGATTGAACATTTAGACATAACATTTGACTTTTAAAATGAACATTTAGTCAAAATTAGCAAAATGTTAGAACAATGAGCTAAATAATTAAATATTAGTTGATTTTTTTACACTCAAAGTGAGCTAAATAATGAAAATGTGTTGGTGATATTTTTTAACATTTTATTTTACACTTGGCGCCTCATATTTATAAGTTTAAAGATTACAATTTGTGTCAACACTGTYATTCTTCGAAGGGAATGTCCAACCATTTGTAGACCAGTTCATGACAACAGGTGAGTAAATCATGCGACTGATCACTTCATGAGGTGTAACCAGGATAAATCTGAAATAACCTAATAACTCAAACTCAGCCATAGCCAATGACACACAACATGATTCCACCTCCTGCCATGTGATGTCTGGGCTGAATTATTGGCTCTGGGAATAATTAGGCAAAGGGATTAATTTATGAGCCGTGCTAACTTTGTGCAGCTTCATGTCTATGCTTGCCAGGACACCTGCTAACAATTGGGAACTTCATCATGTCAATACCAAAAGGACCAGAGTGCATGATATAAAGGCGGGTGACAGTGTTTATGCATGTGGGTTTTGTCATGTTAGTAGAATAATCTGAAACCACTGAATGTATTTCACTGAAGCTCATTACCTTTCAGGGTCAAATCACTTTTTAGTGACCATCACAGTAAACGCAAAAGTGGCTAGTTTTACGGATTTTGAGCTAAAAGAGCTAACCATTGATGTGACAGTAGCTGAGAGTCATTCACAATGAATAATCTGAGTTTAAATGCATCATGCAAAACCTAGCTATGTGGTGTGAGATTGTGGATGGTTGTTTAAAAAACAACAACAGTGTTTCTTTAAGGCTACCTACCTATGTTCCCAGGTACCTARTGGATGTTCTCCAGTGGGTAATAATGGAAGTCCTGGAAGATGTTTYACTCCCCCTTCAAATGTCCCTTAATACAAATTACACAAAATGCTGGATTATTGTGCAGGCATTGCACCTGGGAGCACAGGTACCACAAATATGCTGGGAAACAAAGATTACCTGGGAACATAGGTACCAGAGATTATATTAATCAGAGAACATAGGTACCAGAGATTATATTAATCAGGACCAGAGAACATAGGTACCAGAGATTATATTAATCAGAGAACATAGGT